GCAGTTTTCTTAGAGTTCTTTAAGAAACGATTTCTTATTGATTCTACTGAAAAATGTATTTCAGGAGAAGTACTTCGAGATTTTAAAAAATAATAATTTTCTTGAAATCAAAGATTTAGATAATAGAAATAAAATCTATTAGAAACACTTGTCATAAATATAAATTGAAGAAAATCTTGAGAGATAAGAGAAAGATGATAATTAATTTATAAGTATCCCAACGAACAATTATAAGTTCAAATAAGAAGTTTAGGTAAATAATTAATCTGAAATGAGCAACATCCTAAAATTATAAGAATTAAACTAAGATGAAATAAAATAAGCTGATACTACTTTTACATAAAAAAAGCAGGATTTTCCTGAAATTGATTTGTCCTAAAGATACAATTTTTCAGATAAAAAGTCATAAACAGAGTAATTTAATAATTAGAGTTATGAAAATGCTAAAATTTAAAATGAAAATATGCATTAATATTAAGACTAAATATAATCTACAAATAGATATTTTACTGAAAAAAGTAAATTGTAAAATATCACGTTTATGACTATGCTTTCAAATGTACCCATAATTAAAAAGAGTAATTTTACTGGTGATTATTCTCCAAACAGATTTAAATGTAAAAATTTAGAGTAAAAAAATGACACCAATAAACATTATTCTATGAAATTTATTGCATTAAAAGATAAAAAAATATCTGATAAAATAAAAACAAAAGTCTTTGGAGCAAAGTAAATTTTAAATCTTACTCATATATAAATGTTCTTAATTTTAATTTATGTAAAAAGGCTTTGTAACAAAGAAAACTTTTTAAAATCATAAGGACTCAATAAATAATCATTTAAGATTATTTAGAGTCAGATTGATAAAGACTTAGATATTTTGGAGTTATACTAAGACATTATATTCTTAAAAAAGGCGATCATGATATTATTTACAACTGATTAGTTAGCAGCCATCAGATTGATTGGATGTTCATCAAGTTTTCTCGATTCTCAACTTTTAGATTTTGGTTAGATTCTTTAAATTTATTTTACATTTATTTTATCAACTATTTAAAAAAAGAAACTCATAAAGACATTAGTCATTATGAATAACAGTTTGCAATATCCTTATCAGATGAACTCTAATATAAATATGTTAATAAGTTCTTAAAGAGATGTTAAGAGAGTGAAT